TCAAACACTTTAGTGGTAGCGATTTCAAAATATATAAATTTATCAAATACCTATATTTAGCGATTTAGGTAAAATCGTTAACCACTAACCCAAAACCGCTATACCAAACGAGTCCTTAGTTGTCTCATTTTTTATTTTAAAAGACATTAAATATGTTATCTTCCGTATTTATAGTCAAGTTGTTGTTGAATCAATCTTTGTGCACGTTAAGATTAATTCCTTTTTAGTTGATCTTAAAAACACACAACTTACATTCATTTGGTGTATTTAAAAAAATAAATTTTATTAGTGCTTGACCAAAGATATTAATATTATATTATTTTAATTTTTACTTATATGAAATAAAATATAGATGAAATAGGGCTTTTTTTATTCGATTTTGATTAATGGTGTAAAAATTAAAAGATAGGCAATAATTATTATATTAAAAAGTATTTTTTTATATCAAATTAAAAATTAAAATATAATCTAAACACTAAAATTAGGAAACTATATTTAATATAAATTCTTTCTATACTCATTTATTAATAGTAATTTAATAATTTTAGTCTTTAAATTACATATTAAATATATAATTCAGACAAAAAACTTAAAATCTTTATTACATTAATTAATAATTATAAATAAATAAAATATCACAACTAAATCATTGCAGGGGAGTACAATAATTGAATATTTTCCCAGATTTACACAGTACCAAGGTCGATAGAAGACCACGGTCCCTATAAACTGTCTTTTTATGTTTGAATCCTACAGCTTTTATTTTTCATTTAAATGATAACTTAATTATTACTACTAAATTATATTAAAGTTTAGTCCTCTGTGTCAAGAGAGTTGTCCTTTTTTTTTTTAAATATTAAATTTATCCTAAATCAATTATTATTTTTTTACTTTAATCTTATTATTATTTGTTTATTTTAATTATTTTAATTAATCATCATATCATAAAAAATATTTCTTTTTTCTTTTTTTATTTTTTATTTTTTAAGGGTACTATAAGTAAGCGAATAAATTATCCTTAAATCTTTGATTTAGAAAAAAAAAGTAAAAAATAACAATTATTTTAGAATAAATGAAGTAAATTTTGAACTCTTAAACCTTAAAGTTTAAATGCTAAAATTTAACTTAGTAATCTTTAATGGAAAAAAAAAAAAAACCTTAGTAATCTTTATATAAATTTTAAGAATCCATAAACTTTAAACACTAAATCCTAAATAGGGGAATCTTTTATTGTTATGTGACCATAACACTAACATATAATATCTCATTATGTGATCATAACCCTAACATGTAATATCTCACATAAAATTGAGCGTGAATTTTTCTACATTTTATGATAAAGTATATAATAAAATAGTTTTCACCTTTTTAAAATTTCTCTTCACTTCTCATGAAATTCAAAGACAAGAATTTCTAATTTAGAATTTAAAACTCTTAATGGTGAAGATATTTCTTGGAGCAAATTGTGAGAGTCCATTATGAATATGAGAGATGCATTATATGCATTATAATTTTAAAATGAGAAATAATACATACACCTTTTAAAGTTACATCCTCTAAAGTTACATCTTCCAAATTTACACACTCCATTACACATTGACAGTTTTTTTTAATGTGCTGTTAACATTGACCATTTCTATTACTTATGCCGTTAAAATTGACGGTTTTTATTATTTCTAATGTTAAAACTAACTGTTTCCATCAATTTTAACAGCATACTAACGGAAACCATCAATGTGTAACGGAGGGTGTGACTTTTGGAGGGTGAATGTATTTGTGTTCTTTTAAAAATTTGTTTTACAATTTAATAGAATATGAACGATAAAACAAAAAACTATAATTTTCTTCTAAAATTTCAAAAAAGTTAAATAAATACCCCAAATATTGGTCCCTAGATGTTGAAAAATTCTCCAATTTAGTCCTAAATTTTTGACGATCTTGAAATGGTCCTTAAAGTTACTTTTTGGCTCATTTTTGTTCTTTCTATTTGCTGAAAAGAAAATGATCGGTACACCTTTTGTTTTAATACATGTAACAATATTTACCGATTCAGTTATTAAAATTTACCTTTGAAAATTTTCCTGTCTTAAATTCAAATTTAAAAATATTAATTTGTTAATGATTGAACCGATGGGTGTTATTAAATATGTTAAATTAGAAGATGTACCAATCATTTTCCTTGTTGAAATTTGACGTGGCCCATTAGTTGGATAGAAAATATCAATCTTTTATGTAAAAAATTTATGTGAAAAATGATAGACCAAATATTTTGCTGAGGTAGATATATATATATATATATATATATTTTGTTGATATGGACATTAGATGTACAAAATTAAGGATCCCACCCTAATTTAAAAATAAACAAACTAATTACAAAACGGAAATTACACATTTAACTTCACTTTCTTCCTTAAACACCTCTTTTTTCCTATCACCCCTCTCCCCCTTCTTCTCTCTTTCCACTCCATCTATAGCATCCCTCTTTGCCCTTCTCTTCTCTATCTTAAATTTTATAAGAACCAAAAGCAAAGACCATAAGAGGAGCAAAAAATTGAACTATAAGTTGTGAATAATATAGCTATTGATTGAACCAAGAAACAATATTATAGGATGCATCTTAAATGACACTAGTGAATCAGTAGCAGTTAAAGTCACAAATAAAAGTAGCACAAGAAACATCTATATATATCAGATAGATCTAACCTAAAGATTTGAGCAAGGAGAATTTCATCCTTAATACAATAACCTTGGTGCTACTCCAAACAATGTCCATATCTACAACATATTCATTTTTCCATTTTATTCAATTTAGTATTTTATCCATGTAGGATTAAAGGGCCCACCTATAGGTCCACATAGAATGGTTGATTGTACAAGTAAATTTTAAATATGCCAAATAAGAAAAAATAATAGTATTTTCCTATCATTTTGAAAATATAAAAAATGAATTACTTGTCAGAAAGTTACATTAGCATTTAATTCACAAAAAGATTAAAGAGGCGTCAAAAAATTATTTTAGGGCTATTTCAATATTTTTTAAAAGTTCAAGAACCAAATAAGTTAAAATCTTAAAGTTCAAAGATCATTTGGGTCTTTTAACCTTTAGAAAAATAGTTTTGAATTCTTTTATCTTCACCTGCCTTTTAAAAACTTGGATAAACTTCGGGTTAGGATACATACCATTAGTACGATTTAATATATTATATAATATGTTTATTAAAATATTATTATTATTTATTTAAAATTAAAAATAAATAAATTTAAAAATATAATTATGTATATAATATGTAAAAATTAATTGAATTAATTATATTTATATTATATTTTAATAACTAAATCAATCATATATAAAAAAATGTATTAAATTAAAAGTGCATCAATTATTTTTTTATAGCAGTAACATTCTATCATTTGGAAATGGTAGAATTTCTCATATTAAAGGCATTATTAAGCAATACACTAGCTGGACTAGAATGAATTTCTTGATCTACAGATTTTTTTGAAAAACGAATCAAAACGAATCTTGTGGTGAAAATTGTACTTATTAGAATTTGAAATGAGAGAAGGTACTAAAACCATTTTTTCATGCTCTAATATACCATATTTTTTTTAGCAACTAAATAAAAATATTTTATTGAATTGGGCCTTTGAGTCCAATTGTTTATTGTCAAACCTTAAGTGTTTAGGTGTAATTAGTTAGGAGTTCGATTCCCACTAACAACTTAAAAAGAAAAAAAAAATCTCCCTCCCACAAATTTCCCCATGTTCAAAAAAAAAAATTTATTAACCACAATGGGTACAAGGATACTTACTCTTGCAACAAAAACTTACTTTTAGTCATTTACCTTAATAAATTCATAGATTTTAGTTTCTCATTTTATATTATGACACTTTTAACCAATCATTTTTATGAATTGAAAAAAATAGTCCTTACTTAATGTCAGTTTATAACGTTTGCTAACTGACTGTTAACATTCCATTAGCTCTGTTTTTGTCCTCATTAACAATTTATCAACTGACTATTAACATTCTGTTAATAGTCAACTGACGAATATTATAACCACACATTGAGTAAGTGTTATTTTCTTCAATTCATATAGGTGAGAGACTAAAAGTGTCATAATATAAGTTGATGGGTTAAAACTTACAAATTTATTAAGGTAAAAGACTAAAGGTAGTTTGCCCACACAGATCTCTAATGTACCATATGTAGTCATGATGTGGTTGACTACCCCTCCTATTGGTTTCATCAAGTTGAACACCGACGGCTCTGCACTTGGTAACTCGGATCTTGCTGATGCGGGTGGAGTGCTTAGAGATGATCTTGGTAGGCGGATCCTGGGGTTCTCCCGTCATGTTGGGCACATCACCAGTTTAGTTGCTGAACTTTGGGCAATTCGATATGGGTTGTCTATTGCCTTAAGCAAAGGTTTTAACAAACTTGTTCTTGAAACTGATTCAAAGGTTGCTATGACTCTGATTGACAAATGTAATTGTGATTATCATTCATTGGGCCACATTCCTGATATGTAGCTCAAACATATACATAGGGAGGCTAATGCTGTTGCAGATCAATTAGCTAAGAAAGAGTCAAGTTTACTAATCATTTTGTTCTGTATTATGATTGTCCTACTGATCTTGGCCATATTTTGTATTCGGATACTATTCGGAATTTATTTCCCAAAACCGTTGTTCCTATCTAAGTTTATATAATCTACTCGTCTATTACCCAAAAAAAAAAAAAAAAAAAAAGAACAAAACAAAAAACAAAAAGTCATAATTTGGTTAAAAATATATGGCTAGCAAATGCGTGACAATAACTGCCATAAATCAAATCCAACTACATGGCAGTTGGATGCTACTCCACCCTCAGGGGCTCCCCTCCCTGCCAATAAGCTTCACTGATTTCAAGTAGCTAGTTGGACCTACATGCATGGCTAGAGGGGCCAAGGCTGCCAGAAAAATCCAAGGGAAGAGATGACCCACCCATTGAATGATTCAGTCTGCTATAATAATCCACCCAGGACCGTAGAGCATTCACTCCTTTCGAAATGTATATTGTATTCTTTGTTTTCTTTTCTTATCTTAAGATCTGGATGCTCCTGAAAACTTGCAACCATGTCTTGCCCTTTGTCCTTAGTCTTCAGATGCTGCAACATTCTTTCTTTCCATCATTTAACCATCCTAATAATTTGTGAAATCATAACCACGCCCTTGTCTCAAAAAAAAAAAATAAAATAAAATAAAAAGAAGAAGAAGAAGAGAGAATCAGACCCTTAATATAAGTATATTGCCAGTTTGCTAGCAGATCTAGCTCCAGCAAGGCGATTGCTACCCTAATTGACAAGGAATGTGTCTGGAAATTTCCAACTAAACACTACTGATTAATGGAGTTCATACATTTCTGCTGTTAATTGGTTGGTTTGATGTCTTTCAATAGTGTATCAAAGCGGAATTTATTTATTGCAAGACCAAAAATCTTTGTGCAAAACTAAATTATGGGTTTATTTGCCAGCTTAGAGTTGAGTTTTTTTATTTGTGCAGAGTGGATGCTCCTCTGTTTTCCGATGCCGTGAATTTGTATTTTATGGTCAAACCTTAAACCCAACCTAATTGACTGAACAATAAATAAAAGCAAATTGTATGCATAATCTTTCTATATATTATCAATGAAAATACAAATTTTTTTGGCTGATTTCATAATGTTCTTTATTGGTTTCCTTATATCCCTTGTCCTACCTTTTGTTCACAAGACCCCATGAACAGGAAAAGATGGCTTTTCCTCTAACTCTACCCTTTTGTCTTCCTTTTGAAATTTTTACTCTCACCGAATATCCCCCTCAATTGATCTACACTTCCTCTGCTCTCATCATGTCTTTTTCTACGGGAAGGTTTTGGCTTGACAGGACTAGCTAGCCGTTTTGATTGATACCTGTGGTGATTGATTTTTAAATTTCTGCACACAGCTTTCTCTGTTGAACCCAGTTTGTGAATGCTTGAAGTGTGTTCATGTCAGCCCTGTAATGCTTCTGTGTGAACTCAAGCAGCATAGGCCATGTAAAATCTGGGTATATTCTGGGGTTCAATGTGTCCACCAGTTCAGTTGGTGGGGTTACAACTTTATCTTCCTTTGGACACAGGAAAAATGCCAGAGATTTTCTTGGAATTTGACTGTTCACCACTGCTCTATGCAAACAACTCTTGTGTCTTCCGTTTGAAAGTGCCTAAAAGAAAAATTAATCCTAAATCATAAGTTCGCATTACTTAAAGTTACGTGCAAAATGTTCAAGCAACAACTAAATCACAAGGGTTTAGAAATTAAAGTGTAGCATATTACCATGAAAGTGTCGCCAATGTTGACTACGAAGGCCTGGAAATTGGGGGCAATTGAGCGCCATTCATTGTCAACGAACACTTGAAGACCACCCACTTGGTCTTGGTGAAGGATGGTTAAGGACGTGGGATCGCAATGAGGTCCTGTTCCTAAAGTCCACTCTGGTTTTTGGCATGGTGGGTAGTAATTCAGCCTCATAATGGAATCATTTTCCTCGAAAACTTTACGGAAATGGGTTCTGCCTACACCGAGACTCATCGCTAGAAGCTCCATGATTCCTAGTGAAAGCTTGCTCATGGCATCGCAATAGTCCTGGTAAACCCTCCTGCAGACCAAAAACATAACAAATTTAGATTTTTTTTCCCTGTAAATCTAACGTTGCAAACCAAAACAATACAATTTGGCTATGGACATAAGAGCAACTTTTTTGGTGTATACCCGTATTGCTTGAATTTATCTCCCATTGTATTGATGAAATAGTCTTGGACAATTCCGACCGAATTTTTCTCAGCTGAATATCGGAAAGAGAGTGTCTCCTTCCACGGCAGCTTGGAGGAGAATCTTCCAGTGAAGCTACTGGAATATCCCCAGTGCTGGCCGAGCTTCCTCTGAGCTTTTTGCTTTTCCCCCAGCGGTAATTCAAAGAACTTATCCATATACCTATGGGCATCGGCGATCAGCTCTGCATCAACCCCATGACTAACAACGAGAAAGAACCCGTGCTTTTGACACGCCTCGCCTACGATCCGTGAGACTTCCATTGCGGCAACGGGGTCACCGGATAGGAAGCCACCTAGGTCAACCAGTGGCACCGGAAGCTCCGGTACATTGACACAAGGCTTCTCATTATCTGGCCATATGAACTGGTCAGGAAGGTTGGATTGATAGCTAAGCACCGAAGCATCAAAGATTAGTGGTTTTTGGTCGTCTTTTTCGTCATGGTGAGGCATAGAGGATGGTATGGTTTTGATGCAATCAGCTGCCATTGCATGGAATGTAATTTCTAAGGCTTACTTAGCAAGATCAAGGTTATATTATATATGAATGATTTGTTGATTTGAATGAAAGAATTTTAATTTTTTTAAAAATAAAATATTGCATTTAAAATTAATAAATGAAAAAGTAAACTTTAAAAAGAATTTAATTTAATTTTTATGAAATATGACATAAATCAATTTTAAATTAATCAAAATTTAATATAACTTTTAAGTATCAAAAGTTAATAAAAGAAAAAAAAAAACTATACTATATTAAGGACCTTTTTAGGGAATTCTAGGCTAAAAGAGCGGTGGGAATGGCATAAGCTTGATAGTTGTGATGAAAGAAAAGCCGAAGGCCGCTTTTATGAAGAAATCGGTGAACAAAATTAGAACTTACAGTGTCTCTGTGAATTTATTTTAATTGCAGAAAAGGGCTTTTAGGAGTGGAAATTCTAGGAGATGGGCTTCAGAAATGGAGAAATTATACTATTTTGACGGGGTGAAGGCTTTTTTTTTTATTAATGTAGTTAGTCAGGATTCAGGAAAGCGTTTTCCAATGGTCTTTTGGCGTTTTATTGGTTGAGGGATTCACTATTGTCACCTGATTAGCCCTCATTGTCTCATCAATGTCCTCTAGTAAGCAAGCTTTTGTGTCCTTGTCGGACCCATGACTCTACATTTGCATCTAAAGGAACAAATCGTACCTAAGAATTATAAGAAGACAAGCTATTTGCCCCCAAAATTTTGAAGATCATGTGAATCTATTAAGAGTTTTGAACGCCCTTGGTCTTGACACCTGTCTTTTCATCTTTCAATCATATGAAAATAAGGGGGACGGACCTACATTGAAAAAAAGTTAAGCATAAAGTTACCTCTCTTTTGAAAAAAATTTGTAAATTTGAAGGCATAGCAATTGTAGACGGCAACCAATAATAGGTCCTGCACAATTTTTTTTTTTTTTTTTTATGTAAATGTAGTAGGTCTTCGTTTAACCCCTGAAAACAAGGTGTTTCACTTAAAATTTTTACTCTTAAAAAAAAAAAAACGTTCACTTTTGTTTTTCCCTTTATTTTGTTTTGGAAATGCGAAAATGAGGGACCCTAGGAGTGCTAGGGGCAGTGTGGCAGTACCGGAGTATTCTGAGTCATCTTCTATTTGCTAGATATTTTTGGGATCAAGGCCAATTAGTAATTCCCTTGGAGTTTATATGGCTTTTTCTTTAGAGTAAAAACGTACTGAAACTATTAATTTGTTGATTTGAGTAGAATAAGATTGTTTTTTTTTTTTTTAAATAAAATTTTAAATTCAAATATTGTGTATGAAAGAATAAATATTAAAAGACATTTTGACTTATGCAGTATTGGCGTAATTCACTTTTAAATTAATTAGGGTCCAATTAATTTTTAAATACCAAAAGATTTAAAAAAAATTACTGAAACTAAATTATTTTAGTTTTTAAATTTTAATTTAGTGTTTTTTTTTTATAAGAAATGGAGAAATATATTGAATAATAAGAAACTATAGTAAAAAACTCCATCACATGGCATATAGCCTAAAGCATGAGAGCCTAAAAAGCAGAAACAGAAGCATAACCTACAACCTAGTAACAAATTTAAACTATACCCATGACGAATATAGACAATTAAGTAAAGAAAACCATATGCAATTAGAGATTGTAATTGTAATCGTTGTATGGGCTAAATAGGGCTACTAATGTAGAAAGGAGGGTCACTATGAGCATCGGAAGTTACTGGATGTTCTCACCTAGTTAACCAGCTTCATGGGGAGAGCAAGGGATTTCGGCAACAAACAGTCCCCAACCCACAAGTTGCCGCCCTATCTATTCATTGAGGAATAATCAACAAGAAGGGGCATGGTCTTCCATCCAAGCCCAAGCACCTCCCTTGACTCCATGAGCTCCCAACCATGGCCCTAATTGTTCCAATCCTCTTTAATCCCATGTGGCTGAAAGTCATTAAGGGAACGTGAGCCCTTTTAGCGACTGGAATAGTGTTCTCCCCTCGCAGAACACCATCAGCTTTCCCGATCGCAATCCTTTCCTCTTGTTTTCGATCGGAAAACCCAATCAATCTCCAATGACAACCACCTGAATCGACAATTACAATAGCTTTCTTAGGGTTCCAGGAAGCCATTAAAACGTTTTGGAGGCCATTAAGGTTGATCCTCCTTCGGGATAGCAATTTCCCAACCACCCATAACTTTTTCACTTTACCATCATCCTGTTTCCAAAACATATGCAGTGGGAGGACCTCGGCTTCGTTCTCCACAATTCAGATTCTGTAGAGCATAAAACCTAAGTCATCTTCCGCCATGATTGGGATGCTGTTACAATGGCGAAACAAGACGAATCTATAAAGATCTGACACTCCTGAACAGATGTGGCGATTTTGCAAAGAGAGGAGAAGCACCAGGTTATGGCGCCCCAATTGGATCGACCGAAAAGCCCTGTCCAAAGACTTGAAACAAAGAGGAAGAAAAGTAGAGAGGCTTCACTGTTGGAGAGAAGTCCCGAAGGAAGAGGCTCGTCAACTCCAAACCCTAGCCGAAGGAGTTTGGAGCACGGGAGTTCTAATTTAGTGTTATTTAAATTTCAATAATCAAAACAAAAAAGAACAATGACAGTGCTATTGGACGAGCTTTAGTAAATGCTCTACCTTTAAGATGGAAAATAGTGGAAAAAAAAATCATAGAACTTGTTAACAGGGACTATCTCGTATTGAGTTAAAGTTGTACTTGTAATTACTATGAAGTGTGGTTGTGGTTGCTAACAATTAATTCATACTAATTTTTTAATCATTATCCTTGTTAAAAAAAAAAA